GGGGTTGAGATTAGATACAGAGCTGCAGGTAGGGGGCTGCTCCAGCCCCACGGAGGGAGGAGGGGGTGCCGTGAACATGGGCTGCTCCAGCCCCCCCGTCCCTCCCTTTAATTGGTTAACCACTTAGCCAATTACACAAGATTTTACATCCCTAATATCAGTCCAGAGCCTGATGTAGAAGCCACTGAGGGACGATTAATCTTTTATTAAAGGATTCCCGCAAGATGTTTCCCTTTCTAAGGATTTCTAATAAATCCTATATTCTTTTAGCCAGAGACACAAGTTCTGCATAAAGGAGGAGTTAAAAACTGAATAATCCAAATTTGGTTTTGGGTTTTTTATTTCATTTAAACAAAAACCCTCACCCACCCACTTCCCTGCAGCAAAGGAAGGAGGCAACATCACCTGGCAAACAAGCTTATATTTAGCACAAAGTTGGAAGTTTTTGTGCTTTGTTCTTAACTATATTAACACTATTGCACAGAGTTCAATCTCTGCCATTTGAAGTGAGGCTGGGGGTGTAACTCTCTTGTGTTGAGGTCTGGGCATGTCCTACCTCAGGAAAATCTGAAAAATCTCTGACACTAGGCACAAGCTAGTACATTCCAAAGCAAATTTTAAAAAATCAGATTTTAGAAGCATTCTTATGAGTAGGATTGCCAGATAGTTTCACAAAAATACCAAACATGGAGGGAAAAAATTTGGTTGAGCGCAAAAAAAAACCCAAAAAAACCCCCAACTGCACAAAAAAGAGTCGCTGCTCCTTTAACACTCCCTCCCCCCCAATGTCTGGTATTTTCTGTTTGTTTGGTTTTTTACTGGACAGAAGCCGCGAATAATGGAGTGTCCGGGCCAATACCGAACACCTGGCAATCCTACTTATAAGCCACATGGATCAGTTTTTTCTTGAAGAAATGATTAAACAGATTTCATAGGAAGAAAGCATATCATCCCATTTTTTCTGAAACTGTCTAGAGAAATTATAACATGGGCCTTTCATGAGCCCTCAAGAACCTCAATCATCACAGCTGCTAGGGGAGGGACGGGCAATAATTTTTGATAGGGGGGCCACTCCAAGATTTTGATAAGTGGTCAAGGGCTGCACTTTTCTATGGAGGAGGGGCGGGATCTGGGATGAAGATTAGGTGTGGAAGGGAAGATTAGGTGTGGTAAGTCACTGGGGTGCAGGAGAGGGTATAGGGTTTGAGAGTGAGTTTGAGTGAAGGCGGGCATTGATGTTAGGTGCAGAAGGGAGCTTGTGGACTGGTATGCAGGAGAAGGTGTGGGGGCTGAGAGGGAGTTTGAGGGAAGGTACATGTCCCTCAGCTGGGAAACAGATGCACACACAAACAGACTCTCTCAAACATATAATAGCTTGTTGTCTCTTTCTCCGCTCCTGCCCTGTGCTTCCCCAATGGGGTTATAACTGTCCAGGACCCCATCTCTGGTCCCTTGCTGCCCCCCTTCCCCATGGTCATTATACCATATAATTGTTCCTCCTACCAGACCCCTTCCCTTCCCATTGTATGAGAAACAATTGCATTCCAGGCACATCCCATTGTCCTGATAACCAAACCATTATCTTTCTTTAAGTTATGATAAGAGGAAGCTGCAGACCAAATTTAGTGGTCCTAGTTCTTACTGTTTAGGACATGGGTGGGCAATAATTTTTTGCCAAGGGCCACTTCAGAAATTTTTTAAGTGGCCCCAGGCCGCAATGGAAGGCGTAGGGCCTCAAGCAGAAGGGCCAAGGCCAGGATACTTCCCTGCTTCCCCATCCACAGACCATGATTGGTTCCACCTAGGCACCCATGCCCCTGGCGGTAGGATTGCCAGGTGTCCGGTGTTGTACCGGACAGTCCGGTATTTGCGCTCTGGCAGGTAAAAATATCAGAAAATACCGAACATGTGTAGTGTCCGGTATTTTCTGATTTTTCCAGCTGCGCACCGGACGGAAGCCTGGCGTGGGTGGGAGGAGCAGCTGGGAGTCCCAGCTAGGAGGTGGGGCCGCGATCACCGCTGGGAGCCCTCACTTGGTTGAGTGTGAGGAGGAGGGGAAGCCTCCTCCTCGCTTGTGCGTCGCCGGGACCCTGCACGGGACAGGCAGTGCCCCGGGATCTGCAAGTGCCCAGGTCAGTCCCACTCCACGCCAGCTGATTTGATCACCCCTCCCTCCCTTTCCAGCCGGCCAGTTCTCCCCCACTTCCCCTCCTGATCTTCCCTGGCCAGACCCCCTGCATCTCTCCCCAGTGAGGGGAAGCCTCCTCCTCGCTTGTGCGTCGCCGGGACCCTGCACGGGACAGGCAGTGCCCCGGGATCTGCAAGTGCCCAGGTCAGTCCCACTCCACGCCAGCTGATTTGATCACCCCTCCCTCCCTTTCCAGCCGGCCAGTTCTCCCCCACTTCCCCTCCTGATCTTCCCTGGCCAGACCCCCTGCATCTCTCCCCAGTTCTGCAAGTGTGTCCAGTTTTTTTGGGGGGGCGGGTTTACCTGGTAACCCTGGCGGTGGGAGGAGACTTTGCGTGCTCCCCCTTCTGCCCCCAGGCCAATCAGAGCTTGGGGGCCGGGGAGTGCGCCAATCCTCCCACTCTGCCAGGAGCGCGTGGCACTTCTAAGCGCTGTGTGCTCCTTGCAGGGTGGGGACAGGGCAGAAGAAACTTTGCATGCTCCCGTTACCCCCAGATCCTGATTGGCACCGCAGTCCTTGCAATGTGGGGGCAAGGCAGAGGAAACTTAGCGGGCCAGTCAGGGCTTGGGGGTGGGGCAGCATATGAACTTTCCTCCCGCCCTGCCAGGAACCATGCACTCCTGGCAGGGTGGAGGAAACTTTGTGCACTTCCTCTTCTCCCCCCACCCCCAGACCCTAATTGGCCTGGGGGCAGGAGAGCAGCAGGGCTTCCGTGGGCCGGATCAACCTGCTTGGCGAGCCAGATCTGGCTCGCGGAGACCCTTTTGCCCACCCCTGGTTTAGGAGTTCTTGAACTAACAGACTCACAGATGGATGGTCAGACAGACAGACAGACACTCAAAACTCTCTCAAATATATAGTAGATGTTGATTGATGTACGTCATCCTGACCAATGCATAGTCTCTGTATAAGGTTCCTGTAACATAGTTTTAAAATGTTTCCTGCACATAATACAGTTAAAATTGAAAAAGAAACATTTTCCTGCCTCTAAAGCAAGCATATTGTACTAGAAAATTATTAGATATGTTCATAGATAGGTTTACGGGTAGAATTTACAATAAATTCTATTTTTCATGTAGTTACTAAGTATCAAAAATATCAATCTTTTAAAAACATTTTTTAGTAAAAGTACATTCTCTGTAAGCGTACGCTAATTTAAAGTTGCATGTATCACCTTAGGACTTTATGTAGAAAGGGAAGGGAGCAGGAGCTGACAATGTCTTTTTTTATCACTAATTTATAAAAAGAATAGCCAAAACATGGCATGGCTACTAAATGAGTAAAAAGAAAACAAGACAAATCTTAATCGAGAATATCCTGGTTTTTGTTGATTTCAGTCTTTGTTGCTTTGGTTTATCTCACACCACAATCTCAACTACAGAATCCATCAGTAAGGCGCTATAGTGACGTTCCAGGCTGGACTTCCTCATTGCTGAAAGAATGCATAAAGGGCAGTAGGTGTATGTGTCACTGAAAAATGACAAAGAGAACAGGCCAACCAATGTTTTTTCTACCTGTTAGAGAGCAATTTCACAATAAGCCTATAAATGAACATGTGACAGCACAACCTCATATATCATGCATGATGGCTCTGTATGCCTTTACATTCCTGTAAAATTCCATTCTATTTTTGATTTTGACAATTTACTACACTTCTCATCACAGATATTTTGATGATAGAGTCCCTTGTTATTACAGAAGCTTTTTTCCCTACTCTCCCTTCCAAGTACGTAATTAAGGAATAACAGTTGAATTAATTGGCATTTTATGAGCTGCAGCACAAATATATTAAAAATAGCTGCTTTGGTTAGTCAGATGCAAAGGGACTGACTACAATTACCACATCGCTATCTCCCAAAAAAGTTTTAAACTTTCTATTATTAAGTTCAATATAACTTCTTGTAGCAGCATTAGCCCTAAAGAACTCTATAACTCTGAACAGTGAAAGAACCGTGTGCAACTACCTACATAAATAACAGCTCAAATAAACATTAAGGAAACAGATAACAGAATTTATGTTAAGTATAAACAAAAATTGCAGCACTAACAAGACACCTGTTAAACGTCAATGCTTGATCACTTTACTTTCTATTACACAACCTCCCCATCCTTCGTCTGTACATATCTATTTATGCTGTAAAACCAACAGGGCAAGGAATTTGTCTTCATAAGGTCTGTAACATGCCTTTAACACATTCGCTGTTATATAATTATTTATAACAAATAAAGCACTCAGAGTTCTTTACATTAAAATCTATATAGGTTTAGCCAGGGATTTGAAAGTATGGTTTTTATGCATAGACGAGAAATACCTTTTAAAATATAAGCAGAATTTGAGAATCTAAAGCCATAAGTGGAGAAAAGGAGTAGTATTTGCTCTGTGCACAGATTGTACCCATTGTCCTTTTTCCTTAAAAAGCAAAACCAAAAACACAAAGGTCCTTAACTTTCTGATCCTGTCTCTTGATACATAGGTCCACTACAAAATATCTGATCTGTGCACTTCGACCCTGTATGTATTTCTTCAGGAACTGATACACACCACCTTTGAAATAACTGATCTGTTGTAAATTGGCTTGTCTCTTATTCAGTATAGAACATCCCAACGTACGGCATCTAATAGGTTGCAAATTACTCTTGCACGCCTTGCTCTGAGCCCCGTGTGCTGATACACATAACCTTGCAACCCGCTTAAGTGAGCCCTCCCCCGCCCAATCCTTGTAGAGCCCAGATCTCCAACAGCATCTTACTGAAGGTTATTAGTCCCTCCTCACGTCTCTCGACCCCGATCCCTCCACCTGTGGGTTTTACCTGGTCCAGCGGGATGCCCAGGAGCTGACTGAGCGGGTGCAGCAAGGTGGATCCCGTGGTTCTGTAGGGGAGGCTGGGACTCTCTGCCATCCTGCATCCCTCCCGCCTGGGCCTCCCTCCGCTCC